AAATGCCGACAATGCTCCAAAATCTTGTAGTTTTGTGGGAAGAGAGTAAGGAAAGCATTTGTCGATTTGACATCTAATATATGATCTTACCAGCAAGCTAGCTAGGGGAAGTAGCACCTTAATCATAATTCTTGTATGTATATATATATATATATATGTATGTAGGTATGTATGTATGTACGTACTTTGCTGAGAACAAAGTACTTTCTTTTACATGCAATCTAACATTACTAGTCTTGTATAGAATCTCCAATTTCAAAGTTTATATGTAATTCACATTCTCTGCCTCCTCATAATTAACTAAAATACATAAACAAACTGCCATTAGAATAAGATGAGTACGTAGCTCTAGAGGTCGGTGCCAACTTTTATCTCATCTCTTTTATATATACCAAATTCATGGTGAATTGCTATATTTCTATTAGGAAAGGCAACTTCAAAATAGCATTTTGTCGACTTTCTAAGCATCTGCCAGCAAAAAATTGACAATTCACTTTCCATATTAAATGATACTAAGAAGTTGAGATAAAAATTGAGAAATTTAGTGCACATGTCATTCATAGTTTAAATAGAAAATTTGAACAAAAATTCAATTTTTTATGAAAAAAGATAAAAAAAAAATACTATGAAAGAAAAATCTGAGCTGCGATTCAAACCGTAAATCAGACATAGCATTATAGCATTATAGCATTATTACGTACACATAATATTTGCAAGACTTATGTGTCTTTAATCAGAGACTAACTTGATAATAACTAAATATTAACTCCTAATTTTAATAATCTCTAACCTCGATCTCTATCAAAACTGTCTTTTCATTTATTTCCAACCCAATATTAATACGTGTATATATATCCTTAATCACGGGCTAACTTGATAATAACAACATTAACTTCTAATATTAGTCATAGTATTTAACGTAAGATGGTACGTCAGTTTGATATATATATATATATATATAAAGCAATTTTGGTTTTTTGTAGTTTTGGCAAGAGAACCGATACATAAGGAGATAATAGCTATATACGTGTTTATCTATTAAATTAAGCTTTGTTTCTTAATTATGAGTGCAAACATAAACTATGGACCATATACTTATGTCTTTAACACATATTATATATATATATATATATATACATATAACATGGGTTATAAGTTATATATGTTACATATATATTAGAATATTAAAACCTTATTGACTGAATGGGGTTGGAGTCGTTCACTTGGAATTATCTCTTTCATATTCCTTAAGGAACACGTTGGTTAATGATCATACATGTTGGAAAGAGTTTCCACTAGCCTCCCTAGACCCAATTCCGAATATATATATATATATAATTAGAACATATTTTCAAATCAAACCATATTAATTTAACAATTTTAGTTACGCAAAGGATAGAAGTCTGCCACATTAATGTAACTGGAAAGTGTTTTTGTTAATGGTTTTGGAGAAGGACAAATTGCAGCCGTTTAATTAATTGTTAGCTCCAGTAGGGACCATGTGTGAGGTTACCAATTTTGAAATTTTGTTGTATATATTTCTTCATTAATTAACGTCCGAAAGGTGTGTCATTACTTTTCTTTTTAAAAAAATAAAAATGTGTCACAATTTTGGGTCACTTTCATTGCATGTATAAGATGATGGATTATTTACAGGGAGATTTTGGCTTTTAGTTTAATATCTTTTGTCTTTTAAGTCTTCATATATAATATACTAGGCTGATCAGACAGCTGAGAAGTTGGCTGAAACAATTAGGATCATTATGTATTTGTATTTTGCTGAAAACTAACTAAAGCAATTAATTTTATAATGGTTCTTATCGTGAAGTGCTAGCTTCTTCTTGGATCTTTTTTTGCTTTTTTTGTTTTGTTTTGTTTTTTTTTTTTTTTGTTTTTTTTTTTTTTTTGTTTTCTTTTTTCCTTTTCCTTGTGCCATCTAAGCCGAATGTTATCGAGTAGTGCTAGTCTTACTTTGCAAGGTAGAAAATTTCGTTTTGAACTCGTCCATTAATAGGATAGTTACTCCAAAATATTCAAGCTATAGTACATTACTCCGATGTGTGAACAATATAACTATAAACACATATTATATGTATACCTATTCAATTCCTAATTATTCACATATATAAATAATATATATTTCTATTCATAAAAAATATGAAGAAATATCAAATTCGATTACCTTTAACTCGTAAATATATTATATAAGTGCTACACACTGCACACACACCCACACATATATGTATATGTTTATAGGTTATGTCTTTATGTAAATATATATATATATATAGACACACGCATTAGGTTAATTATGGACCTGACGCCGGCCCCTAGGATTTCTATATAAATATGTAGGAGTTCCAACCTGAAATATAAAGAAGTACAACACGAAAATTGGTTCATACCTTCTTTTTTTTTTTTGTTTAGACAAATAGTTTAGAGCTTGTTAATTTATTTAAGTTAGAGACAATAAATTAACAATGCTAATTATTATAACAAAGTTAAATTAAATGAAAAATAGACAATTGATTTAGCTCAACAAACTTTACCTAGAATCCCTAGTCCCCCACCCAAAAAAATAATAATTATTATAATAATAACAACAACAACAGCAACAAGCCAACGAGATTTAGTACTTGGTTATATATCTCTGAAAGGGTTTTAAAATTTAAAAACAGCTAGCTTGCAAAACCATGTGGCTCTTATAAATATATGACTTGACAAGCAAACATGAGGCCGTTGAAAACTTTTTTGTGTGGCACAGTTTAAACCATTAGCCAGTGGTACTGAAATGGCATCAATCAAAGTTTTCTAACAGTAGAAAAAAAAAAATAATACACAATCATAGAGAAAACCATGATTCTTGGCTGCACATACACATGAGAGAGATGAGAACCTTTACAAAAAGGAGGAATATAAATATATATATATATATGCCAAATGCATCACTAGAAAAGGATGCTTCCTCAGCTGAGCTCTGACTTGAACTTAATTTGGGAGATAGTACATATTTTGAAATATATTTGATTTTTTTCTCTTTATTCATTTTTTTTTTTTTTTTTTGAAGTTATTGGACTTAGAGATCAGCATATAACCATGTCTGATTCTTAGCCTTTTCTTCAATCCTTATCGCCAACTTACTTACGTGTCATCACCGTGTGGCCTAAATTAAGCACAAAATTTAAGCTGATAATTTGAATTATCAAATAGAAAGGATTACAGATTGGAAAGCATGTGACAATGAAAGTCATAGCTAGCTAGAAGCTAGCCAGGCAATGAATATAATGGGTGACAAAATTGATTTTTCCTTGTGCTATGGATCAATTTTTAGTTTTATTAATTAATCAAGAATAGTCACAGGTTAAAAGGGGTGTTTTCAAGGAAAGCTTGATTATTATATATTTCAAAGGCAAAGATCATTGAGAGGTTAGACTTATTTGGCTAGCAATTGGAACTAGACCACCCAACTTTAAAAGAAGCATTTTAATTTGAGACAATGCAATTTTAATTCTCCTTAATTTAATCAAGATCCAACTTGGCCTTTATATATATAAATATATGTATATATATATATATATATTATATGGTCTCCACTGCATCAGTTTATTCTTTCTAAAAATATTAATAAATAATAAAAATCTTGTAATTCATTGGTTTTCTTTTCTAGGATATTGGGCTAATAATTTAGTCTATAATATCAATGAATCTAAATCAATGAGGAAGAATAATGATTAATATGAACAGGGTGAGAGCACTGACCATGATAATGGGTTTGATAAAATGGCAAAAGGGGGTTTCTTAAAAAGGTGGTGTTGAGATGAGTAGAGCCATTGAAATTGAAAGGCATGTGACAGCCTTGTTTCAAGAAGGGGAAAATGGCCTACGCTGAAAGTTTTGATTTCCACCAAGAAAGTTGGTTGTGTGGGTTGAGAGAAGTAGTATATAGGAAGAATAAAGCTTTCAACAAAATATATATATATATATATATATGTATATAGGAAGAATAAAGCAAAGAGAAAAGCACTATCCTATTGGGAGGGAAACCTACAAAACTTTAATGGCTCAGAAAAAGCTTTTTTGCCCCCAAAAAAGATCAAAAAGATGGGATTTCTATGTCATAATGGTATGTGCCTTTAGAACCCCTTTCAGAATTCCTCTTTTCCTGAAGGCTCCAGCAAGGGAAAGCCACCTCCTGAACTAATATGACTTTGATTCAAAGACAAATAATGAATGAAGGGGGAAAAAAAAAAAAAAAGAGGTTTGGCCGTCCATTGAGATTATTATTGTTGTTGTTGTTATTATTAATGTTTTACTTTTCAGCAAACAAAATATGCCCCTAACTCGTTGCGGTGTTGAGGAATCTATAAATAATAGAGTTTCATTTTCATGAGGCATCCAAACCCACCTCTATATTGGACTTGGGAAAAAGCGATATTCTTTGAATCAAGTATGCTTTTGGAGAGATTTATATCACTTGGAAACCACATATTCCACATTTGGTGTTTCTTGAAAGGTTGAAAAATATAAAGATATCAAAATAGTGAGTTGAAATATTATTATTTTTTATAATTATAATATTTCTTTACATGTGCACTAATGCCAGGCCGGCTCTGAAGTCTAGCTGTTGACCCACTTTCTTTAGCCCAAAGAGGCTGCCCAAGGCAAAGATTATTTTTCTTTTTGCTGAGATTTCCCATTCTGTAATAAATCTTCCGAAGGAATTCTTTTAAGTTGAAAATGAAAGTCAAAATAAAAGTAGCTATTTTGATTATTGACCAAATAAAACGCATCCTATACCAACCAGACTGACCTAATAATGTTTTTATACTTGTTGAAATTTGCATTTTCCTTTCTCCTTTTTCTGCTGGAAAATAACGTTATTATGTTCATCATTGTGTTGATTTTTCACTTTCCAAGAGCGCAAAAAAGTTGGCTAATAATGTTGACATCTATAGTTTTAGTAAAACTAATTCATGGAATACTTTTTTTCCCCCGCCTTTTTCTCTTTAATAAAACAGCCAGGCAATAAGAACAATCAAGACTTGAAAAAGTTGAATCTATGTAAATACTCTAGCCTTCAAACATATTACATGAAATATTGACATGTTGAACACACACACACACACACACACACAAAAAGAGCCCCTTTTGTGACATAAAATACCAAGTCCATTACCATCACTTTTCTTTTGCAACTCACCTTGAAAGAAAGGCAAGGACTTAAATGAATAGTTCTGCTCCATACTGCCTCTAAAGAAGTAATGAGGAAAACCACCTTAGATTCAAAATCAAAAATACAAATTGAAGGCACTTAACATATGAACAGTGTGTTATGAACTAAACATGTATTCTAGGATGATATTACATGAGGAAATCGATCACTTTTTTTTCCCCCCTTAAACTTGTAATCCTTGCAATTGGCTAATCTACAGTCCAAATCCTATTCTAAATCTTGTCTAATCATAAGATTTCATATTTGCTCCATGGAAGAAAAGTGCGCATCAACACTTGTGAGCGTTTGTTGATCAATTTCAGTTGTACTAATCAATTTCGGCAACGAATATGTTATTTCTTTTTTGGATTCCAAATCATCTTTATCACTCTGCTCGGTCGATAGCTCTGTGGTCGGAGGCTCTAATTGACGATCTGTATGAGGATTGAAAAGCTGAGATTTTACCTCCAAGCAGGATTTTAGATCCTCCTCATTTCGGGCTTTGTTTAGCTTATCAATAAGGTCATTTAAAGTTGAAGCCCTCCCAACCCACCAATCTTTTGCTCTTTTCGGCTCTTCGTCCAACTCCTTTGAATTAACTGGTGCATCATCACAGTCACCCAACTGCCGTTTCTGAAGCTTTTCCAACCCTTGATCTACAATTTGGCATATCCTCTTTCTGAAGTTACTAGTTCTCCCAGGGTTTGATCTCAGCTTCAACTTCAGCCCTGAGATTGTAGCCCCATTGTCATCTTCAATGGAAGTAGGGTTACGGTTAGATATAGATGACTCCGACCCATCTTCGATTAACCCATCTGAAATAGTTTTTGTGGAAAATAGTTCTTCCAATAAGCTAATATTTTGCATGTACCGATCAAAACCTTCATTTTCCCCTTCAATATTTCTATCCTTGTATTCCTTAAGCTTGGAAAATCTCCATTCATTTATAGCTGCTGCGTCCTGAAATTACTTACTTAGGAAAATTTGTTCCATACAGCAATTCAAAACAAATCTTCATCGATTTACATACACACCTTTCTGGTTAATGCCTTCCTTGAACGAAACGGAATTTGCACATTATTGAATTGAGAAAAGGTGTTTGAAAGTTGCCGGAAGGATGCAACTCTATGTGAATTCCTGAAATAGAACCAAGGAAAGAAAACCACTAATCAAAATAACGCCAAAACGTGAATTTCCTAGAAGACTTACCCGTTCACTTCGCTGATTCGAGTTTGTAATTCAAGTTGAGATGTGATTTTGTGTGAAAGCTTTTTACTGTAGCAAAAAAGTTAGATGTGACTGTTTCTGAGAGCTTTTTACTGTAGCAAAACTCGAATTCTAAACTCAAATCAGCGAAATGAACGGGGCCTTAGAACATCAAAGTTAAAGGTGAAATTAAAGTAGCAATGAGAAACATGTAGAACTAAGAAAGGAGCTTTAGGGGAATATAGGTATCATGATAAAATGCTCAATACCGGAATCTATTGGGGGAAAAGGAAATTAACAGAAAGGCAGAATGAGAACTTCTTGCAGGATAAGGCAACAACTATTAAGCTTGAGCCAATCCTTAACCATAAAATAGCTTAAGCTGAAAAAAGTACCAAGTTTAAAACCCTATGCTACTTTCAGGTCATTGATGAAATACAAATTACAAAGGCTTTTGATAAGTTTGACAATAGAGAGTAATAAATTTCTTCCTGTGAAAAATAATGACACTCGTTCTCTAAACAAATAGTGCAAGAGTATATGACAATTAGATAGAGAGGAAGGCTACACTTGTAACTCACACGGAAGATGGTGCCTCGGTAGACTGCTGATCGAAAAAAGGAGAACTTGAAGTTGGAGCCTTATCAGGAAAAGTTGCATTTGCTTTTAACACTGCAGTCGCAATAATACATATAAGTGAAAATACCTCTGTTATGTTTTATTACTCAGGAAAAACACTAATATATACAGGGATTAGATATTAATTGTATCTACCAACTAATACTAAACAGACTAAAAATAGGATACAATAAATAGTGCAGCGCAGTAGCTATTATTAGAGAAGACGATCCTAGACACTTCTAACACTCCCCCTCAAACAAGTGTGAAGATACTTTGCATTCCAAGCTTTGCTTATCATTAGAGAAGACGATCCTAGACACTTCTAACACTCCCCCTCAAACAAGTGTGAAGATACTTTGCATTCCAAGCTTTGCTTATCAGATGTTAAAATGTTGAACTCGGAAGCCCTTTGGTGAGAGCATCTGCAAGCTGACAGTGAGAAGAAACGTATGGTGTACAAATTAACCCAGATTCAATCTTCTCCTTGATAAAGTGTCGATCAACCTCCACGTGCTCTGTGCGATCATGTTGTATAGGGTTGTGAGCAATGTTGCTGCTTTGTTGTCACAATAGAGCATCATGGGACCATCAATGTTGATTTGTAAGTCTGACAGAATAATCTTTAGCGTAGTTCACATATTCCTTGTGCCATAGCACTAAATTCTGCCTCAGCACTAGAACGAGCTACAATTGGTTGTTTCTTGCTTCTCCAAGAGACCAAGTTGCCTCCAAGAAAGATGCAGTATCCAGTAGTAGATCGTTGATCCATTTTGGAGCCTGCCCAATCAGCATCAGTATAAGCTTCTGCTTGTAGTTTCTCATTCTTGCGGAATTGAAGACCTTTTCCCGGAGAACCTTTCTGATATCTTAGGATAGAATGTGTGGCTTCTAGATGAGGTTTCAAAGGAGCATGCATAAATTGACTCACCACGCTTACAACATAGGCAATGTCGGGTCTTGTGTGAGAAAAGTAGATGAGCTTTCCTACCATCCTCTGATACTCACCTTTGCCAACTGGTTCCTATTCCCCTGTGATTTCCCCAAGACAATGGTTGGCCTCAATCGGAGTATCACTTGGTTTACATACAGTCATTCCTGCTTCTTGAAGTAAGTCTTGAGTATAATTATGTTGTGAGATGTAGATCCCATGTCTTGATCAAGCCACTTCAATTCCTAAGAAAAAACGGAAGCTCCCTAAATCCTTGATTTCAAATTCCCGGGAAAGATAGGTCTTCAATCCAGCTATCTCCTCATTGTCATTGTCATCACCCGTCACAACAATATCATCAACATATACAATCAAAGCTGTGAGCTTTCCATTTCCTGACTTTTTTATGAACAGTGTGTGATCACCTTGACTCTGAAAGTAGTCTCGGTTTAGCATAGCTCGAGAGAATCTTCCAAACCACGCTTGAGATGATTGCTTCAAACCATAAAGGGACCTCTTCAGTCTACACACTTTATTGCCTCTGACTTCTTCTTGACACCATGGAGGAATATCCATATACACTTCTTCCTCCAGATTCCCATATAGAAAGGCATTCTTCACGTCAATTTGGTGTAAGGGCCACTCCTTTGTTGCTGCCAGTGATATGAGAATCCTGATAGTGTTAATCTTGGCTACTGGAGTAAATGTTTCAAGGTAGTCGATTCCATAAGTCTGAGTGTGGCCTTTTGCGACCAATCTGGCTTTATATCTATTAAGAGACCCATCAGAATTGTATTTGAGGCTGAAAATCCACTTACACCCAATTGTCTTTTTGTCTTTTGGCAACTCCACTATCTCCCATGTTTGATTCTTGTCCAAGGCTCTCATTTCATCCTCCATAGCCGCTCTCCAAGGTTTCGAGGCAAGGGCTTCACTTACTGACGTTGGGATTTTTGCAGATAAAAAACTTGTAATAAATGCCCTGTAATGAGGAGAAAGGTTCTGCAAGGATACAAATTGAGTCATGGGGTGTCTAGTGCAACTTCGAACCCTTTTTCTCAAAGCTATAGGAAGATTAAGAGTGGGAGACTCAAAAGAAGAGACGGAAGTTGGTTGAGTATTCTTATTACCTGACTCAAAGTCGACAACTAGAGCTTGGTAATTGACGACAAACCATTTCCCCCTGGAGTACGTTTTGAGAGGAGGCGACATTGGTGTCTCAGTGTTAGTCTCTTTTTTTGGTTCTTCATGTAGGATGCTAGGCTCGGTGGTGATAGTGCGCTCAGTAGTAGGCTGGACAACAATGGAATGTATAACTTCATCAAGGGTAGGTTCAATGGGAACAGAAGTAGGCTCCTCTGTAGGTTGGACAACAATGGTAGACGGGTCAACCTCAACCCTCGTGTCAACAACATCCCAATTCCACCTATCTTCCATACTTGTATTCTCCCTCTGAAGATAGTACTGGTCAAAGTATGACTGATTTTCAACAAGAACCACATCCATTGTCACAAAGAAACGTTTTGTCGGAGGATGATAACACCGGTATCCCTTTATCTGTGCTGAGTACCCTAAAAGAACACACTTCAGAGCTTTAGGGTCAAGTTTACTTCGTGAGTGGGGATGGACAAACACATAAGCAAGGCAACCGAACACCTTTAGAGCAAGTGTACCACTCCCTTGAAAATTAGGGAATAGGGGGAGAGCAACTTGTCTAAAGGCTTTTGGTAGTCAAGAAGCTTGGACGGCATCCTATTGATAAGATAGGCGGCCGTAAGGATGACATCTCTCCAATAGTGTTTAGGTACCCCATTTGAAATAGGAGCGCACGAGCAACTTCAAGGAGGTGGCGATTTTTCCGTTCAGTAACTCCATTCTATTGGGGGATATCCACTCACGTAGATTGGTGTAGAATTCCTTCTTGTGACAAGTAGCCCATCAAGTCTTGGTTGAAATATTGCTTGCTGTTGTTTGATCGTAACGTTTGAATGGTGGCTCCAAATTGTGTCTTGACAAATTGATGAAATGTGTTGAAAATGGATGGTACTTCAGATTTGTTCTTCATTAGATAGACCCAAGCGGTCCTAGTTCAATCATCAATAAAAGTAACAAACCAAAGATGGCCAGAAATAGTAGTAACACGAGATGGACCCCAGACATCAGAATGAATTAAACTGAAAGGAGAAACAAATTGAATTTCTTTGATCGGAAAAGGCACACGATGACTTTTAGCAAGAATACATGACTCACAATGTAAACTACGAACATCTATTTTTGTGAACAATGACAGAAGTAGCTTTTGCATTAAAGAAAAGGATGGATGGCCTAAACAGTTATGCCATAGGTAAATTTGGTCTGAACTATTTGCATGTGAGACTAAACACTGAGACTCATCGCCAACACTCTCCCTATTAGTATCTAGGTAGTATAATTCGTCTTTTAGTTTACCAACCCCAATCGTCTTTCCCGAGTAATCCTGAAAACAACAACCAAAAGGAGTAAATTTCACAGAACAATTCAGATCACTTGTAATTTTCCCTATTGACAAGTTGTGATTCAAATTGGGAACGCGAAGAACAAAGTGAAAAGTGATCTTGTTTGTGATTTTAGTAGAACCTTGGCTAGCAACCGAGGAATAACTTCCATCAGCCACTTGGATTCTTTCTCATCCCAAACATAGAGAATACTTCAAAAATAAGTTTGACATACAAGTCATGATCAGAAGCGCCTGAATCAAGGATCTAGACACTTGAATTTGAGATGGAGGTAAGAACTTTTATACCTGAAGATACCATGGAGCAAGAACCTGTTTTTTCATATTGGTTGCGACTATCAATTTGATTTAGCAATTGACGGAGGCGGGCGATGTCCTGTTGGTTCATATCAGTTTTGAGATCGTTTTCAACCGGATTATCGGCAGCTGTATGATTGGCTTGACCCTGGCCTTTTTAAGTGTTGCCTCCTCGATTGTTGAGTTGCTTCAAGTTCTAAGGCTTTCCATGTAACTTCCAACACATAGCTTTGTTGTGCCTAGGTTTGTTGCAGTAATCACACCAAAGCTTGTCTTTTTCACTGTTTCTTTTGTTCTTTGTTGGCTTCTTTGCAATAAGGGCTGAGTTGTCGGTTGTAGGTCCTTCAGCTTCACTTGTTTTTAGACCCTTTAACCCTTTGTTGCTCTCTTCACTTTGCACATAGAGGAAGGCTTCCTCCAAATTTGGGAATGGTCCTTTGGCTAGAACTCGATCACACACTTGATCATATTCAGGGTTTAGTCCCAACAAAAATTGAATAACCCAATCTTGTTCCATGACATCCTTAATCTTCTTTGCATCAGGAGCACATTCAAACTCAAGTTTTTGGTAGAGATCAAGTTCAGCCAACAAACCTTTGAGAGTGTTGAAGTATATTGTGAGGTTTGCAGTTCCTTGGTGAGTTCGAGTGATCTGTTTCTTGATTTGAAAAATCTCTGAAGCGAAGCCGGTTTTGGAATAGGTCTTGTTCACAGCATACCAAATGGCTTTCACTGTGGGAAGCAGCATGTATGTCTTGCTAATCTCTGGGATCATGGAATGTAAAAGCCAGGACACTACCATAGCGTTTTTAGCTTCCCACATCTCATATTTAGGATCATCTTCTGGTGGTTGTTGGACAGATCTAGAGATGTACTTGAATCTGCCTTAGCCCTTAGACAAATGATTGCTGATTAGGACCATGCCATGAAATTTTTTCCATTAAGTCTGCGGGTAGTAAGCCGAAGGGTTGGGTTTTCAAAATAAACTGTGGGATGTTAAGAAATTTCTGATGATACACCAAACGAAATTTCGAATGCTGACATCTTGGATATATATAGGTAAAAAAACACCCAACACCCAGCTTGCACAAAGACCAAATATCTTCTTTATCTGGTTAGAAGAAGCGGAAGGTGAAAGGAACTACAGATCAGAGGCGGAAGACCGGCAGCGGTGGAAGACTAGTGGCAACGACGACGACATACCAGCAGAGGCGGCGACGGCGGAAGGCTAGCTACAACGACGAGATCTGAAACCCTGGGCGGTCTAGGCTCTGAGGTCTGTGAACAGATCTGGGTTGCGCTTTCAACAAACCCTAACAGAGGAGGCAACAGAGTACAGGCAGCAGCAGAAGACCAACTACGGTGAGGACGGCGTACTGGCGGAGGCGGCGATCTGGACGGCGCAGTGTTGGGTCTGAGAGCAACAAAACCCTAGAAAGTGGGGCAAGGGTAGTAACGGAACTAGGGAATAAACCCTAGGAAAATAGGCAACAATGAAGGTCGCCGGAAGCAGAGTGGCCGGCGGCAATAAAGGCACGCCAAAAAAGATGGCAATGAAGGCCACGAGAAGGTAACAATATATCTAAGTCTTGCTCTGATACCATATCAGTGAAAATACCTCTGTTATGTTTTATTACTCAAGAAAAGCACTAATATATACAGGGATTAGATATTAATTGCATCTACCAACTAATACTAAACAGAGTAAGGAGAAGAAACATACAAGGTCATGATTTTTGCACATGACAAATTAACTCAACAAAGGAGAAAAAGTCAGTCAAATTAACAGGTCTCCAACAGGATGCAATTTAAGTAGACGTTTTCAATCTTACAATGCTCACGCATTGCTGCTGCAACACTGAAACCTTCCACAAATGTCATATTTTATGAGCATGGATCGTCCCAGGTACCACATACTATGCAGCAGCTTCTGAAGCGTAATTGCTTCATAAGTGTAATTGCTTTCGGAAACTAACTCTAATTGCATAGACCTAATCTTTTACATTTGTTTCTTGCTTTGAACTTCTGCAATGTCGCAACCAATTTCAAATCCTGATCAGACCTCTAAAGTCTAATCTAAAACCCACCCAACTAAATCTCCTTCACTGAACATGAAAATAACCCCCAAGGCCCTAACTAAACCCCTTTTTTTTGGGTCGTCAACTGAACAACACCATGAACTTACTGCTTCAAGTTGTCCATTGTTTAATGTATCCCCCTTTTCCTTGCCAAAAAAAAAGATATATTTTTCTTAACCTTTCCCACAAAAAAGCCTTGAACTGTTGACTCGAAAAACCTTTGCAGATTAAACCACAACAACTACATCCTACCTTAGATTAAATTACAGACACTTCAAAAAATTTTGCACGCTCGAGATTAAAACAGCCTGCATCAGGCCTAGCAATAGTAGATTCCTACTTTTAGCAATTAATCTCCACAGCTACTTCAAAGTCGAAGGGCCTGTTCACTTCGTTGATTCGAGTTTGTAATTCGAGTTGAGATGTGATTTTATGTGAGAGCTTTTTACTATAGCAAAAAAGTTAGATGTGACTGTTTCTGAGAACTTTTTACTGTAACAAAACTCAAATTCTAAACTCAAATCGGTGACGTGAACGGGGCCGAAACTTATAAGGTACCCAGAATAACTAAAATAGAATAGTTGATGCAGATCATGTTAAATAGGATTATTTGGGATTGATTTCCTTTATTGGGGAATCGATTTGGTTGCTTGGGATTGATTTTCAATCCAATTGGGAATGATTTTTTATTCAGGTTTTATGCATTTAATTTAGTTTCCTATTTTGATTATGCAATTAGCCTATAAATTGGCCACTTTGTTAGAAGAGTATTCAGCCTATTATGATTGAATATTGAAAAGAATTCCCGTATTGTTCTCCCTCTCATATTCTTCTTCCTTTTCCCTCTCTCAAGTTCCATCTTAATCTCTTTTCTAAACCCCTAATTCCTCTTCTATTTCTCTCTCTCCTTCTCCCTAATTTCTCCAATTTCCCTTTCTCTCCCCTAGTTCTGCATAGTAGTCCTCTGGAAAATTACTTTACTTATTATTCCAGAAGTCTGAGTGAATGTTGTGATAGGACAACATAATTTTTTTTATTGGAATCACCTGGCTTGATAACAAGTTCTGTCAATTAATACTAACGTTCCACCAAGTACCACTAACATAATTCCCAAAGAAATTAAAAGGAAAAACGAAAGACATGTATGATAAGACTTAACTAGTTGTCTAAAACACAGACAAATTTAAAGATGAAAAATTCTATTAGAAAAGTAAAATAAACAAATAAATAACTAAAAATAAAATCCTATTAGAAAAGTAAAATAAACAAATAAACAACTAAAAATAAAAATTGAAATTGAAATTACCGTGAATATGACATGGATTTTGAGCTTTGGCACAGCAACTCTTGCATGATTCGTAAGGACACCTGCACCCAGTTAATTTCTAATTAAAAGATCCATCATGCAATGGTTGTATAAAAATGTCTCTGTAGCATAATTTACGCAGCAAAATTGAGTGCAAACGATGATGTGGTGTGCCTAAGGCAAATACCAACATCGAACCCTACAAATTCCATTGTCCAAAAGGGAAAAAAACAATTGACTAAACAATCAATTGAAACATCCGTGCATGTAGAGTCTGGTAGAATATAAAGAGTCCGCTGAAACATATCCTGGATGGCTTTTATGTCAAAAGCAAACTTTTAAAAGGTAATTCTTCTTGTAGTAGCAGCTGAAACACGCTGATGGCTGATTATTTACAGCAACAATCTAGTAAAGAGGCTCTAGTCCAGCTATTCCACCTATGCTTTTTAAGCCTAAACGGTGCTGGTACTCCATTTTCTATCTGCTAATAAGTTGAAAAGAACCTTACCTTGGCCCTCTCTTTCCTTTCTTTTCCTTTTACCTAGGGATTAATGTGTCCTATTTGGATTGATTCTCTAATATAAAACCGCAGATCTTAACTAATATCTTCTTACAAATATGCTATTGTAAGAGAGAAAATTCCACTAAGATCTTAACAAATATGATATGCTAGATCTTCACAAACAGTAAGCAAGCTGAGCTATATTCCAAGAACACTGCCAACTTTTCCTTCAAAATTAACAAATTACGGAAATATAGGCACGCTCCTATCTTTGTTCTAGCCAGTGTAAGTTTTCATAGTAATTCCGTCAAAACCAAGATGCCCATAAGGAATCTACTGAATCCAAAAGCCTCCCAAAATGTATACCAAATGAACTGCCCAAAAACGACGACCTTGTAAAAAACTTTTCAGCGGATTACCATGTCCCACTACTTGCCATCTCCTACACTACTTTTAGAAGTATGGATATCAATTTTCCGCAATACTGAGATAGATACAGCTTTTTCAAAGCGCAAAAAAGGGAAAAAAGGGTAAAATCAAGAAAGAAACTTCAAGAAAATGAAAATCGATCACAAGCACAAATACATCCACGCAACGAGAAACTAGGGTTCCAGTCGTCCAGAACCTAAATTCGGCGCAATTAAGCCTTGAACAAAGCCATAGAACTAACGACAAGCTCGGAAAAGCGAAGGAGGTCTCACCTGGAGCGCGCGACATTGCCGCACTGCTTGCACTTAGGCTTGTTGAGACCGCGAAGGGTCTTCGGCGGCGTGTCCGTACGGTGGACGGTGTTCACGGCGGGAGGAGCGGGAGCTGAGACGGGAACGGCCGCGGCGGTGGCGGTGGTGGCGGTGGCGGTGGTGGCGGTGGCGGCGGTGTCAGAGCTGTTGCTGCTTAGGGCTGGCGACGGGGCCGCCATAGGAGCGAGCTTTCAAAGGGTTTTTTGTGATCTGAAACTGGAGAGGTTTGAAATTGGAAGGGAAATACCGCGGGAAAAAACAGCAAATTCGTAATCAAGCACTTAACTTAGTCGCGGTTTTTTGTCCCAAAAAAAAAATTTTAAGAAAAAAAAAAGAAAAAGAAAAAGAAAAATGGCTTGGCGCTTTAAGATTGGAGTTTCGTCCGTCGTAGCGGCGGGGTGGGTAAGTTGTGAAAGGATTCGGCGAGCGTGGGTTTTTTTGGTTTTTAATTGGGGCTAAATAATGGGCCGGGTCGGGAGTTATTTCGTGAAAGGGAAATCATTAAATAGCATTTTTTTCCTATCTTTTCAAGTAAATAGCATATTTTTTAAATATTGATAAATTTTATCATATCTCTCTTATTCATTTTGAAATAATTTATTCATTTTCAATTTTACCCACAATGTTTTCTTCTTTCCATTTTATGGTTATCTCTCAGATTACTTTTCCAAAAGCTCTCTCTTAATCGTCTTTCTTTCTCTATAGCCTCTCTCTCTATAAATTAGATGCAGCTACAACCAGCGACGATGGCGACTTCCGATGACCGACGATCGTCACCGCGCGAGGGAATCTCTGGCAACATTTCTCTCTCTCTCTCTTCGTGATTCCTGTCTCAATTATCTTCAAGATTTATGGTCGTGATTCTCTCGCAATTTCTCTTCGCGATTTGTCTTCGAGATTTTTGTTCGCGATTTTTTGTTAAGGTTTCAGCCGGAGGGAATGAAGAGGAAACTAATGTGCTTGTTGGAGTTCTTGATCTCGGCTCTGATGTCGCGATCGGATCTCGTGAGTGAAGATGAATAAGCAGCTGAGGAGAATAAGTTACAGAGGTCGGGACTCGCCATCGCGAAGCTTCTCCGGCGTCTGGCACTGATGTTGTTGTGGTTTGTTGATTTTTCTTGCAGGTGTGGCCGGCATGTATTAGGAAGGGGTGGGTTCCGCCGAGAATAGGTGGGCTGCTAGTGGAAATTTTGGGTTATTTTGGCAGGGGTTAGGGCTAAGGTTTAGGAATCAAATTTGGGGTTGATTTGGAGATTATGATTTTTTTTTCTTGTACAGATTTTGGGATTTTTTAGGATCAATTTGTAATATTAATTAATTTGTAGAAATTTTTGAATCAGGGCTAAGGTTTAGGAATCAAATTTGGGGTTGATTTGGAGATTATGATTATTTTTTTCTTGTACAGATTTTGGGATTTTTTAGGATCAATTTGTAATATTAATTAATTTGTAGAAATTTTTGAATATGTTAAATACTATATATCAATCGTCGGAGACAGTCACCGAATTTTCAGATAAATATATAAAATACAGTAGTTACCAGTAAATACAGTATTTTACTGGAAAATACAGTGTTAAACGGTCGCCGGAGTCGGTTATCAAATTTTTAAATATATATGATATTTACTCGTAAATACGGTATTTATTGATAAATACTGTATTTATTAGAAATACAGTATTAAACGGTGATTGGAATCGGTGCCCGAATTTTTTTAAAAATATGATATTTACTAATTAATACGATATTTATTAGTAAATACAGTGTTAAACGGTCACTGAACTCGGTGGCCAGTTTTTGAGTAAATATGGTATTTAATACGCTATTTATTGGTAAATACGATATTTACTTCTAAATACATCGTTAAATGATCGCGTGAGTCAGTAGTCAGCTTTTTGGGTTAATAAGGTATTTACTAGTCAATACGGTATTAAATGGTAAATACAGTATTAAACGGTCACCGGAAAACAGTCACCAGAAAACGGTCACCGATCGCCGAAAAACAGTCACAGGTTGCCGGAAAAATGGTCTCCGGCCGCAGGTCCCGACAATGGTAGGTTTGACTATAATCTACCTATTTTAAAATATATGTTATAATTCATTATTTAAAAAAATAGATGTTTTGGGAGGAGGAATGGGGTGGAAAATGAGGTTTAAGAGTATTTTTTTATTTTTAATAATGTTTAAAACTTTAAAGTATCAAATTATGTTATAATTTACTATTTTTAAAAAAATATGTTATAATTTACTAATAACATTATCAATTATGTTATTTTCCTTCTCATCCCTTGGTGAAAATGGGATACTTTAAGCATTTGGGACTAAAGTACAAAGCTCAACGCCTTGGTAAAATAGCTTTGGGAGATTGAGGAAATAGATAAAGATTTGAGAGGAATTAAAATTAATATATCAATGTTTAAGAAATGTTGATAAATATGCCAATGTAATGTAAATCTGGATTTACAACAAGCTGAAATTCTAAAAATGACCTCTTAGTAAATCCTGGATTTACCGTTTATATCTGAGATTTACTATTAGAATTTTCATTTTTTTCCTACTAATATGAACCTGGTAAATCCAGAATTTACCAAGTATATATGGGATTTATCATTAAAATTTGTAGTGTTCTACTCCCATTAATACGAATTTGGTATATCCAGAATTTATCATTAGATTTTTGACTTTTCCTAATATTGCGAACTTGACAAATCTAAAATTTACGAGGTATATCCGAGATTTATCATTAGATTTTCACTTTTTCCTTAGTAGTACAAACTTGATAAATCCGGTATTTACCAAGTATATCCGAGATTTACCATTAGAATTTGTAGTCTTTCCCCCAACTAATACAAACTTGGTAAATTCAGGATTAACCAGGTATATCCGGGATTTACCATTAGAATTTATGTTGTTCTTTTCCCCTACTAATACGAACTTGGTAAATCCAAGTATATTTGAGATTTACCAAATATATTCAGGATTTACCATTAGATTTTTCACTTTTTTCCTAGTAATATGAACTTAGTAAATCCATGATTTACAAGGTATATCTAAGCTTTACCATTAGAATTTGTAGTGTTCTTTCCCCTTATTAATAGATCTTGGTAAATCCAGGATGTACCATTAGATTTTTCACTTTTTTTAATATGAACTTAGTAAATCCTAGACTTGCCAGGTATATCTAAAATTTATCACTAGAATTTGTAGTGTTCGTTCCCCTATTAATACGAACTTGGTAAATTCAGTATTTATCAGGTATATCTGAGATTTACCACTAGATTTTTTACTTTTTCCCCACTAATACGAACTTGGTAAATCCTAGATTTACTAAGGATATCCAGAATTTACCATTAGAATTTGTACTTTTTTCTAGTAATACGAACTTAGTAAATCCTGAATTTACCAAGTATATTCGGAATTTACCATTAGAATTTGTACTATTCTTTTTCAAGTGATTCTAACTTAGTAAATCTTAGACATATCTTGATTTATCAAAGGAAAGGGGAAAAAAATAGCAAGAAAAGGGTAAAATTAGAAAATTAAAAATTAAAAACATGAAATGGTCTATTAATTTTTATACATTGGTAAATTGGTCATTTACTTCCACAAGTTTTACATGTAGGCCTATTTCCTACAATTTTCTAATACCTTTCGTAAAGGGAGAACGAGGGAAATATCATTTTTAGGATATCAAAAAAATAGCATAAAGGTTTAAGAAGAATAATAGATGGCATGCTCTGATAGATGTAATTTACTATACTATAAAAATACTAAGGGCATGTTTAGTTTGCTGATTTGAGTTTTTAATTCGAGTTGAGATGTGACTTTATCTGAAAGTTTATTACTGTAGTAAAAAAGTTAGATGTGAGTGTTTATGGGAACTTTTTACTGTAACAAAACTCGAATCGGTGAATTGTACGGGGCCTAAAAATACCCTCACTTGTAATATTATTTAGAGACCTTAATTTTTCACTGATATAATCTCTCCCCTAACACATATTTCCCTCTATCTCCCCACACCTATGCTCTTCTCTCTTCACTCTCCCTTGATGACTGCTATCTCTTTCCTCCTCGATGCTTTCTCCTCTTTCTCTTCTTCCAAATGCTCTCTATCCTATCGCTTTCACTCTCTTTCCCAGTCGTTGCTCTCTCTTCTCACTCACTCTCTCCTCGATCAATCTTCTGTAGCGATGACTCCTTTTCTACCCTGACATTCGCATGAATATCGCGGTGATTTAGCGTATCATGATCGAGTTGCGACTTTAAGACTTCTCTTATCTGACAACCAACTTTTCTTTTCAAGTGGTGCGAAACTCGAGATCGTCAACTTTCACAAATTTACAATGAAGAGCATTTTTCTTCATTAAGTTTACGTGAGCGAGCGTAGAGAGAGAAATAGAGAGGACGATGGCGGAGGCAAATCTCTGTCGTGAGTGGGGAGAGAGAAAGAGAAAGTGAGGAATGGATGAGTGAGAGATAGAGAGAGAAGAGAAGGAGAAATAAAAATAATAATCAGGGCATCAATTTATTTTAATGGCATAAACAATAAGATTCTCAAAAAGAGTGGTTATTTAAGGAATTTTATCATTTTTCATCCTTTCTACTAAATGCCTCACTTGAGCATTGAAATGTCTTCTACCAGTACATCTTCATGCTCTAAAAACCAAGACAGAAGGAGGATGGGGAACATGAAGATAATTTAGACATGTTCTTTTCACAATTAAGCTTTTTTGTGTAAGAGGTAGGGGTATAAGGAATCACCCCGAACCTGACTAACCCGGCCTACCCAACCCTACCCTACCCGAAAATATGGGGTTTTTTTCGGTTTAAAATTGGTCTAACTCGCAATGGGCAGGTAGGGCCGCAGGCCAGGCTCCATTTACCTGGGTAACCCTATCCGGCTGAAAAACACACTGAGTGTTAAAAAAAAAACCTACACCTCACCTACCTCAACCCTAAAATTAGACTTGAAAAACTCTATGCGCCGCCCTGCCTCTCTACCTCTCTCAACTCTCAAGTCTCTGAGTCTCACTTCGTTTCTTTCCTTCATCGCCTTTTCTTCTTCTTCCCACCCTCTCTCAGTCTCTCTCACTTCTCGGTCTCTCTCTCTGCTAGCCTCGCCGTCTAGGAAGAGAGTCGTCGAAAAAGATGTTGCGGCGCGGGGCCGATTTTCGGTGCCCGGTTCGGATGCGGTTTCCGAATTGGATCTGGGTGCTTCTTGGGTTGTTCTCCATTGCAGAACTGTTCTTGTTCGAGCTTCACCATAACTAGAATGAAGATTAGGTGGAACAACCGGCATTGGTAAGAATAACCTTTTCTTTATTTTTGTTATTTTTCGAGTCTAATTTTGTTTTTAATTTGATTAAGACTCTGATCTTGGTCTATAGGATTGTAACGTGTTTGCCTAAAATTG